CATTATTAAAATCAAGAAGTTCAGAATATTGTGTTAACTAGTTTCGTATATTCAGTAACTACTTGTGCATTTATTGAAAACAAATTTGGTGATATGGTTCCGTAATTACAAAAAAAATGTAGACAATTTTTCAGCATAAATAACAATAGGCTCTTCTGCTTCGAATTGTATACAGAACTCCACCTAATTATTTCCAATAGTAAAGAAAATTCTTCGCAAAAATCTGCTCATTAAATTAATAAAGTCCACTTTCGATTGGACAATAGTTAGTAACTAGTGTAATGTGTCTAGTCCTTTGTTTGGTGCAGATTGAATTCTATCAGTCAAGTCTGCAATGTGGCCACCATTCTAGGTGGCTAGCCTCTACGGTACACTTTGAGTTGTTTATATTCCTACAGATTGCCTCCAACCACTTAACATCAATAAATTCATCTTTTGTTAACTGTTAATTCTCCTGAGACCATATATAGAAATCATGATAGAAAAAACCATAATTCTAGGATCACCTCAATACAAATCTTGAAGTAAATGACTCAGCATAGGACAGAGCTCAAGAAAATAATAAAAATGTTAGTTGTAACGAAACACAAGCAGTTCAAAAATAGTAGGATCACAAAGGAATAATCTTTATGAATCCCACAAGAACGCAGATAGTTTATATAGCAAACGAGCTATGAAATAATGTTGGATGACGTCGAAAGTTATGCAAGTCATTTACTTAGTCGTGTACAGAAAAGTGAATGTCAGCTACCTAGAATAATAGAAGAATAATTATGAATTGGATGAATAAGAAGGATTATATTTCTACATACAACAAAAGTCGACTGTCTAGTAACACAGGTGAGTAGAATGAGGTCATTTCTTTAAGAAGGCATTTATTAACACATGACAAACGCAACCGTAAAGCTAAGATGAAATCTTGCTAAACTCTAAAGCAAAATGTAATGTGAAGCTAGTCATAGAAAATTGAATTAACTGCACCAGTTTCATTGTATTATTATTATTATTCAAGTTTGATCACGGATTGATATCAGTTACAGAACTACTGAGAACCGAACTGGATAGCTGTTTCGTCCTAGTTTGGGACTCTTCAACAGCACGCACCCATCGCTGGGGTTCGAACCGAGGACCTTCAGACTAAATGGCAAGCTCATAGACCATTCAGCCACTGGGACCCTGCCAACTGGCCCATGAATTCTAACTTCTACCAATTCGTGATTTTAAGGCGACCACCATTTTATGTCATCAGTGGGCATTTGTCCTCACTCCCGACAGGATGTACCCCACTGGTCACGACTTCTCACTAGAACTCCAGAAAACTCCGTCCTGTAGCCAGTGACTAGTGAGAATTAGATTAATTTTTCAAGAGTTGAATTGTGGGAATTTGATTTGTTTTTCAAGTTTGATATCAATCTGTGGTCAAACTTGAAATACAAACCAAATCCCCATAAATCAACTCTTGAAAAATTACTATTATTTATCCCTTGGATTCTGAGTGCAGCATACAGCTTCGGCAACATATCTCCATTTCAGTCTGTCCTCTGGTGTCTTCTTAGCTGGCTCCACGACTTCCCACAAACTTTTATTTTCCCTTCACATGGTCTTTTACTTGTCACCTCCGGACGCCCAGCTCATCGCTTACCACTCGGGTTCCATCAGAAGGGCTAACTTGTTATATTCCTAGAATGTCTCCACAGTGAATGCCCAACCTATCTCCATTTCATCGTTTTGTATGGTAAACCATTTGAAAATGAAGAGGAAAACCTCTAGCCGAACCAGAAACTGGACATGGAGATGGCAAAAACAGTCATGGGCTGGTAATTTTTTAGGTCGTTATTTTGTAAAGATAAGTACCAGTGAGCCCAGCACTGATAAGTTAATACCATTAAACAAATGTCCATATCCTTATATCTAAATTTATTAGCTAGAATAACTAATTTGCGACTATCGTAATGCTGTGGTGGCTCTGAAGGGAGCATATTTTTGTGCTATAATAACCTTATTCATAGAGAAGCAGAAAAAACATACGAAAACGGTTTGGCTCTACACAATTTTTTCTGTTGTCAGCTAAGAAGTTTTTACCAATAAGTGATCACCTGCAAGTGGTGTGATACATCACAGTACAATATGCCCGATCGATGACTTTCTAATGAAAGGCACTAGTAAATGCAATGTAAGTGAAGTTTACGTATCTGAATGAAAGCTACTGGACATGATTTAAAAAAGGAGTGCTCTCCAAAATCAAAACAAGTTAATCCCGTAACAAAGAAAACCCGTTCACAATATTATATACCTTTTGATAGCACTTTTGAAAATATTTGAATTCATCAGATATGTCATGGTGTGTACTGTGCTTGGCAAAATGGGATTGCTTACCCTTTGATGAAACATTTGCAGATAATTTAGAGTATTGAGATACTTGATAATGGTCTATAAATTTTTCAAAAACCTTGCAAATGTTTCCACACGTAAAGAATAGAAGCGATATAATAAAATGACAGAAAAAGACTGTATGATGTTTTTACCGTAAGGAGTTCGACGTCGTGTTAATCTAGAAATTTTAATGCAGCTAACACCTACAAAGCCTGTAGCATCAAAGTTTCAGCGGCTTCTGTAGAAAAATATAGTTTGCTAATGACAACCATAAGTAAGAAGGTTGTTAATTTTACCAAGAAGAATGAGAAAAATGTAGTTTTTATAATGCAGAAGTCTCAATAGTGACTAACAGGTGGTTTAAAGAGCAATCTGAGATTTTCAGACCAAGTATTGAATGAAGAATAATGACTTCATAAATGGACTGATACAAATTAAGAATAGCCCCGTCTAAAAGTCGATTAAAAATATTTATAGTGCCCTCTTTAGTGAACTTAATGAAATATAATATATGTATGAATATAAACTTGTTGGTGACTATAAGACTGTAATACAGTTAAGAAACCCTCATTCGTCATGTCTATGTAGATACATAAAAGGGAGTAAACTTTAGGTTACAGAAATCTCGGTCTTCAAATGCTTAATAAAATAGTTAGTAACACTGGAATTTGGAGATAAAGAAAAGTACTAGAGAAGATTTTTAGCCCAGGTAAATGGTTTTTATTTGGTTGTGTTATATATTCTAGATAACATTTTCAGCGCGAGATTGCACTGAGGACACAACCAAATAGAAATAAAAGTGCACTTTCCCTAATAGCATTCACAGATAACCGTCCTGTCTTTATAAATAATTTCTTCTAAGACATTTGAGTAAAGCAAACAGGGCCTTCTAAATAGAATGAAATGGAGAAAAGTTTAATACCAAATATCCCTGGTTAAAATCAGTGAAATGTTTAACATCAGTAAATATAGTGAAGTACGACAAATTACCTGACCTTTATATCTCTAGGTTATATTGATTATACGGTAATGAAGTGAGGCTACTTTTATGGGAAGTCTTGTTGGAACATGCAAAACATTTCGAAACGCGGCCTTACAAAGGAGCTAGAAAAATAACTCATCTAGTCACAATAGACTCTAAAATTAATAAATTAGTGATGATAATTCCTTAAAAATCCAGATAATTCTAATGTAAACGGTAACTTGAATTCGAAACAAACTAACGTACACATGATAGTGAATATTTCCACTTTTTATAGCTCCCGTAAGACTTCATACCTGAAACGTTAAACTTCACAGTCAAAAATCACCCGTAGTGTTTGAAGGTTGGATAAGGCAAGGATAGGATGTGAGAAAAAGATATAAATCTGAAAATGCTTCTCATCTGACTACCAGAAAGGTATAAAGCACTTCATTCTAGTTACGAAGCTTTTAAGTTAAAAATATCAGCCATACGCCAAAACTTCGAACTGTGCCTTTCTAACTAGGAATGTACTTGTTTTACGGCCGTGATAGCGCTTCTATTACTGCAGCCTAAAATTCAGATAAACCATCTTCTAGTTGATTTTTCCGGCTAGGTGGTATGGATTGCATAGTCTCTACAGCTTTAACTTAAGCATTTGCTCATGGGACCAGAAAGTTCTGAAATAAAATGCAGTCCATTAACTCGGATTAAGGATCTTTATGTCAACAGGAGACAGAGAGTAAGAATCAACCACAGGCTCTCCTCCTGTAGGACAGCATAAACTGGTATACCTCAAGATACCATAATCTGCCCTCTATTATTTCTTCTGTATATTAGTGGATTACGTAGGCTTGCTAATTCCCTCATGGTTTCTCACGCTATCTGATTAACAATTTGAAAAACGTTTAGGTAGGACAGCAACAGACTCACACTACAGACAAATCTAAATGTCCTCTGAAGACGGCTGAAATAGTACATGCTCTCCATCAGCATAAGGAAACACACAGTCATAAGCAATGGCCAAACAAGCACCAGCATAAGTTATATAGAGAAAACACCTTTTTTTACAGTTCATACATACATTAACCTGGGTTTCTTAGTTAGCCACAACTTAAAAATCATAGTACATTGTAACCCAGTTGCAGCTAGCAACTCTGAACACTTTGGTCCAAACTAGAAAACTGCATCCAAGCAGCCAGCCTATGCCTAAAACGTGGGTAAACATGAGAAGTATTTAATCACGTTTTTAAGAGTTTTTAGATGTGACTGTAACTCGATATACCTATTTTACCCCTACTAAGTTGAAATACCTTAGAGAAAACAATAGCTGCGTTCGAAGGAAAAGGGTGAAATATATCATCAGAGTATTCGTTGTCTCACTAAATAATTAACTCCTAACACCAACTGATGAAGAAAAGTCCCTGGCTTCATACTCATTCAAAAATAGGGAAAAAGCCAGGATACCTAACGTGAGAGAATTATCACAATCTTCATGGTTTCTTTCTTCAATTATATAATTTGAAATCTGAAGCTTGACTAAAAATATCATAAAATAAAAAAGCAAATTTAAACCATTGAAAAAATTTCTAGTTGAACATTGTGTATTAAAGAAATGATTCTTGTTCAAAAGTGCACCTAAAACGTACGGAAATCAAGGTCTTACCTAAAACATCAATGTATATCGACTTTTGAGTTTTCGGTCCATGAGCACAGGACCAGTTTCCTCTGTCTTCATACTTGACTGATGGTATATAAATCTCATAAACATCATTGAGTCTGTTGCATATGTAACGGTGATTTTCAGTGTAGAAATGGCAGTTTTCCGCTATGTCTTTGCCATCATGACTCCATATTATGGGAAATATTTGGTTCTTAGAAGAACAAGATAATTTAAGATATGATCCAGATAAAGCAATACTCGATGGAATTGCAGTGAATACTAGACAATCACACCAAGGCGTTAAAGCAGTACTGATTATGAAGCATAAAATCAACAGTAACATATTCGCAATTTGAAATGTTGCCAAAACATTCCAACTCATGTAACCTCAACACTTGCTACAACAAAACAAAAAGGTAAAATAAGTCACCTGCTGGTAACTTCAGGGTGCACAGACATTAAATTTAACCTAACTTTCACGGTTTCTGGAAATTTTTTACCATGCCTGTATTGTCCTTCGTCGTTAGGATCCTACATCCTTTAAACTATGTAACAGCTTCATCAACTAATTGCTATCTAACGTTATTCCCGCTTAGGATGATCTAACCACCACAAACCCTATACACCGTGTAGAAACTTTTTATTTGGTAAAATTTCAGTGATGTATATATTTGCCTACTACTGACATTACTAGGATCTAATCATCTGAAGTTATCATGCTGCTTCTATACTAAGTTTTTCATTCATATGATTCAGCTTAAGAATTTACAGCTTCCGGTTTAGGATAAAAAACCTAAATGTGTGTTAATGGAATTCTGATAAGTATCTTCTCTTGTCTAATATTTTCTTGAGCGAATTAATTGAGTGCACATACTCCACTTATGCTGGAGTCGGCTTCAAGAGCTGATGACTTCATGGGAGAACGGATACTGCATGGCGATTCAGTTCCTCCTTAACTCTTGAACCTTCTTGCTATATCACCTGGGATCTTTAGACCTGATGGACATAGTACGTCTTTTGTTACACCGTAGAAATTTGAAACTTGCAATTAGATATCCTCTCTGCCTGCGATATGATTAGAAGATATTCGAACTCTTAAGTCCTTGTTCAAATGATAAATCATAAGGAATTATACGCATGGCCCTCGTTTGAAACCTCTTTATAATATGAGAACTCCTCTTAAGACAGAGTATGACAGTCTTGGTCAGATGCATATAAATGATCGAACACCTCTAGTGATTCTAGTAACCGTCCTGTGTTTCGTCCATGAGAATCTAGGTCTTCCAACTGCCACAATGCAACAGCGCCCCGAAGTTTTTAGGTCATGACTAACTTTGGTACTAAGGTCATCATGGGTTTGAAATGATGCAAGTGGTATTCCCATTAAGTTGAATGAGCTGACCCTTGTGTACCAAACGTTCACGGTTTCGCACCTCATTAAGTTTATCAGAAGCAGCCATTCTTTAAACCAATCTAAGAGTTTGTGGAAACCGTGCGATGAAAGCATTGCGTTGATATCTCTAGGCTCTCTCCAAAATTTTGGGTCACCTGAGTAGAGAACCACATGAAAGTTAGTGAACCCAGGAAATTCACAACTGCATTACAGGATAAACAATTCAGGGCCTAGCAAAGTGCTATGTCGCAAGGCGACTCATTCTACTGAAGTTTCTGAGGCAGTTTTGTATACATGGTAGGGTTGCTAGCCTCAGGGTTGAGAAAGGAGTTGTTATATAAATATATAGGTTACAGAGGAGCGACTTCCCGGGTTGCTCCCTTTAGGATCAGGAAAAAAAGGAATAAAGCAATCAGAACAACAACAACAACGAAAACTGACAACAGGAAAGGCAGTGACAACAACAACAACAAAACCGTGTCACTAATACCACTGTCAAATGGTATTAAAGCCAAAGACTCACTGACTTGGGTCAGCTTGGGCACATAAATCCAATAGTATATACAATTTTAGATATTAGTTAGTGCTAAATAATCACAAAATGGCAATTAGTTAGTTATAGGTATTAATGGGTAACAGGATTATATCCACAGATTCAGTTTCCGAAGTTAAACGAACTAAAATAAATTTCACAACTTCCTGGCCAGAAATACCCGAGAAATGAGAGTTTTATGTAACTAAGCATATGCATCGAACAAACTACAGACATTCATCAACAGCCCTCTCCGCTCGATATTCAAGATCAGATGGCCAGAAAGATCAGCAACAAGGATCTCTGAGAGCAAACCAACCCAACAGGAACCGATTATGCATCAAATATCCTGGAGGAAATGGAGGTAGATTAGTCATACTCTGAGAAAACCATCAAGTGACATTAAACGCCAGGCCATCGCTTGAGTGGAACCCGAATGGGAAGCGGCGAGTTGTTCGCCATTGCGAGGGTGACGTGGAGAGGTCATGTGAAGAGGAGATGAAAGCATGTGTGCAGACGTGGAGCCAGGTGAAAACGTTGACAGACAACCGAAAGAAATGTAGACGGGCGGCTGAAGCCCTATGTACCTCTAAGAATTAAAGGAAACAACAACATAATAATAAATTGCCATTTGGCACTTGACCGAGTTTTCCCTCGCAATATGAAATTTTGTTAAGCGCGTGAGGTTTCCACGGAAACCGTACTTTCAGCTGGATAAGAATTTGTGGTTTTCCACATATTCTACGACTGCTTTCTTGGCTCTCCTCCAGCAAAAATTATGGGACTGGCAGTCCAAAGGACGGTGTCTTGATCCTCTCTTACGGATGTGGGTTACCGTATAATATCACCAATCGCGCGGTGACACTATTTGGGAAAGATCGCCTAAAAATAGTGGTGAATCGGACGTCTTTTTCAGTTAACAACTCCGAGAGCAGCCCTCAGTGATGGTTATGGTTTTTTCCTGTCTAGTTTGTTAAGAGAATGAAATACAGTGTTTCCGTAAATTTTGACAAAAACCAATCAATTTTTCGTTGCAAGATCAGAACTGATTTTAAAGCGGACTGATGATCTAAACCAGGAGAAAACTCTGGGGAAAAAGCCTGCAACCGCTTCCTCTTTTTCCTCCTGCCCTTCAATTATGTCGTTGTTAATAGTCAGGTTTATGAATCCGTTGGATGTCTCACTCTTAAATTTTGTTCACGAGAGTTTTTTCTTGGGTTATGTCATCGCTCTTAAAGAGAAGTACATTTGTAATTGAATCCATGACTAACGAATTCCTGTGATAGCTCTGTTTCTAGTAATAGTGCACAGCTTTCTAGTCCCTGAGGTTCTAAGCGTGATAAACAACTTCCAGAAATCGCGTCTACACCTGACTAGTCAATTAAATTACCAATTTACCCGTAATGGCCACTGTTTCCGACACTTCGAGACAGATCATGCTATGAAGTGTTTGTTTACCCGAACACAAAGTTAATAAAGGTGACTCTATTGAGCTTTTGGATAAGGTTTCGGATTTATGTCCCAGCCCTGTGATAAAACAGTGCGAATAATGATATTTATTTTAACTTTCCACACGTTGGACCAGGCTTGATCGCTGGTTCAGGGTACTGCATCAGCGGTGAACGTGAAGCTGAGCAGAGTGTGATGCTACATGAGGTTCATCTCCTCACCATTGTTGAAAATATGGTACAAGGTAGCGAAGAATTGCTAAGACTCATAAGGCGTAGGTTTCTTAATATGCCAAACTGGAGCTAATAAAGTGGAGAATTCTGCTAACTGGTGAGGAAAACACTGTTTGGAGAAAGTGTTGTGAGGTTCATCCATTCAACCAACGGGTTTTTGAGATCGCTTACTATAAGGCCCTCACACTTGGACATGCATGAACCTAGTACCTACGTAAGAAGGTCATCCGCAGCTCATCGTGGAGTTTTGAGGGCAAAAATCACTGTAAATCATTTCGAATGTAAGTTATGACTCATTAATAGCAACGAATCTGACCTTCCAGAGTCAACTATATTATTCAGTTCAGCCCATTTATTCAACAGACTACGAGCATCAGTAAAGAAACTGTTAGCTAACGTTAGCGCCTCTGCGTTCCACTCAAAGGGGCTCAAAGGTCATCAAACTTCTAGCCTGGCTACAATTCTGCGGACTGTTTCAGAAAATGAGTTAGTTAGGCTGCTTGCACGGACTCGAACTCTCCATCGGCTGGCCTCAACTAGAAATAATGCCCATGACTGCTGTGTGGCAATCTATCCAGCCGGACTCTGAGCTTTCATCACTTTACTTGGTGACCCTTAAGCCTGGCCCACCTAACTGGTGGCCAGGCATTTCTTAACACCGCCACAGCTAGTGAAGTGAGAACAAAGCCCTTGCGGCTGATCACAGATGTATTAATTAACGACGGTATACAGGTTATAAAGGTATGAGATCACACCACAACGTAGTCACCAAGCTGTTGTTCATTGAAAATACTATCACCCAAATTGTACTGATAATCCAAGCAGATTTTAGAGCCTGCCATTGATGACGTTCACGAGTAGCACGATGTATACTAACACAAGATCTAATATCCACAACTTCTATTGTATTCGTTCCACGTAGACCAAAGGCAAAGCGAAACACCTAAACTGATCGTCCAAATACAAAGTATATTTAGGATCCACTTAGTAGTGCGAGAATGATTGCTTAGCCAGCTGGGGATCGTGTACGGACGAATGAACATAACACGACGACGTGCCGAATGGCGTGGTTGCTTCACCGTGAGCCTTCAGCTAAACAAATCGACTTAAACAGTGGGAGTCAGCATCCGATGTTCGGTGATAAATATTGTCGCTAATAATTCTGAGGAATTACATGCTGCCAAAGCTCACTCTCCTCTAGTGGATTTGTGAGAACCCTGAGATGAAACCGGCTGGAATTAAAGAAACTAATGGTGGCACCATTAGTAAAACTTTCAATCGGCTTGACGGATTTCCTACTGGTCGTCTACCTATGCTAACTGGGTGCATGTACATGGCATTGTTGATTTTGTCCGCTTGATCTCGTCCTTCGTTTGTTTCTTGCCCAGTACCCGTCACACGTGGAAAAGAAAACAAGAATTCTGAGAACCATTTGGAGGAAAATATACCAAAAATAACGTGTGAATAATGGTATAAATCTACCTTACAGAAAAATAATGTGAAAAATAGAACATCGGAGAAAGTTTTTCTGCAGGGGATGTAGCAAGTGCGGTCATAAAAAACATTCGGCTTGTGAAGCGGGATGCAATGAGAAATAATTTATGTGCCTGAAAAAAGTACCACAAGCACGACAGATCTGGAGGGTCACGTCAACCTTGTTATGTGAGACAAATATGAAGATGTTCTGGGAACCTCATGGTTCGTCCAGAGTGCGTTTTCATTGGGTTCTCGATAGGAGGTTCGGTCACTTTCACCGTGCTAGGGATCTTTCCGAGGACTAACGGGTATTC